ATTTGCTTGTGTGGATACTGACACTGTAAGACTAAGTATGAAAAAAATTTAGCCTTTAATATGTTGCAGTGTTTTTTTATTAACTATGCAATATACTTTTGTCCATTTGTATAGATTACAGTACTTCATTCAGTGTCCGAAACCAAACAGCAGAGTTTATATGACTACATGCAGTTTGAGAGAAGTGTGTGATGATTTAGTTTTCACGAAGCTAATTTGTGGGGTATGAGCTTCGGTAGCCTTTTAGCTCCACTAAAGAAACAAAGTTTGGAAACTTTTGGCTGATGGACTGTCTGGGTTAAGAGGACAACTGTGTAAATTTGGCTTTTCACTCAATGTTTGTTTAAAATGAGGACTTCACGTTTTCCCTGTAGTAAAGAAAGAGCTGAGTTCCAGCAGAAGATGGCAGATGAACTCGCTAAGTGGGAGGAGTTTAAGCGCGAGGAAAACAGGAAGCTGCAGCGCGACAAGAAGCTGTTCGAGAAGCATGCGGCAGCTGTCAGGGCAAGACCTGACAAACAAGAACGAGATGAGATCCAGGTATCCGTCTTTGGTTTCATCCCAATACCTTCTAGGTCTGGGGTGGGGAACTGCAGTCCTGGAGGGTCAGATTCTTGCACAGTTTGGTGATCTTCTTACTTAAGCACACCCCACCACTGTTTTAGGTCTTTAAGAGATATTTAAGACAGTTCTTCGCACCAACCTACGTGTTCGATTGGAGTTTAGTTCCCCGCGTGTTCACCCCAACACCACGTGTAATATAAATGTGTGGGGGGTGAACAGAGTGAAGACACTGAAAATGTGTTATTTTATATGTTCTTCACAGAAAATGGAATCTGGGGTTGAAATAATAATAAATAGCATCATTTTTTCTTTTGGTAAACATTGAAAATGGGTCCCACAGACCTGAACACCACACAAAGGTTAAAGAAGCTAAATTCATTCAATAGAGGGGCAGGCTGGACACTTTTGGACCCACAGTGGACCTAATAAACTGTCAACTCTGTGTATAGATGGTCTAAACCTTGAGTTTTTCTGTGACAGTCTCTAAAGCTGCAACTGAACACTTTGCAAGAGGATTTAAGGAAACGTGAGGCTCGCTGGACCAGCACCCACCACCGCCTCCGGCAGCAGATAGACACCCTCAGCGCCGAGAACACGACTCTCCGAGACCAGGTCCGCATGATGGAGAAGCTTCGCCTGACTTCTTGGAAAAACGCTGAGGGTGTGCATGAAAGAGAGAAAGAGAGGGGGAGGCCTGCCGTGTCTAGTAGCAGCACCACAGCACAGACAAGGACACGATCTAAGGTAGAGAAAACAGTCATCCAAACCTGCCAGTTCTCCTTTTTCAAAAATATAGGTGTCATTTATTTATTTATTTATTAATTAATATCCTGGTGGCTTCTAGAGTCCTTCCTGCAGCATCAAGAGTAGCAGCACCAATAATAGAATGGAAAGCCCAGAACTTCAGAATCCTCCCAAAGCTGCAGTCTCGTCCTCAAGTGCACGTTCTGCCGGTTTGTACTTCATATGTACACTGGTGTGAATTTTTTTCTTTTGAACGTGTTTATTTCAGTGATCTAATTTAACTTGCAACACTGAAACTTCTTTTCCTTTAGCTTGTAACTCAAAGCTTCAGACTATGCAGAGTCACAAAGAACCCTGCCCGGTTGCTGATCTGTTCCCCATCTCAGATGGACAAATTGTGCCTGAGGGGAGGAGCCATGACTCAAACGCCGAATCATCTTCAGTGAGTAAAAACATTCAAAAGAACATTAAAAGATTAAGCAGACTTAAATATTGTTTGAAAGACCCATATCTTGCATTTTTGTCCAGTTTTCAACATTTTTACCCCTTAAAACGGGCTTTCTGGTGTAGTGTCTCTTTATAGCAGAGGTCACTAATAGGCGGGCCGTGGTCCGAGTCCGGACCCAGACGCTGTCTGGACCCAACACTGATAAACTATGGAGAATTTATTTAATTTCAGCAGGGTGGTCCTGTTTTAATTGGCATAACTTTTCTAGCCTTTACGGTAGCTTTAGTGGCCCGGGAGACTCACAGACCAATCGCATGTGTTGTAAATATCACAGGTGACGTTACTCAGCCAATCAGATCTGTGCATTACGATGAGCACTGAGACTCGACACAGGTGAGGGACGAGGCAAGAAACAGCAGGAGAAAGTGAGTCAGAGGGAAGTTATTTCACAACGTGCTCTAAAAAGAGAAAACTTACAGTAAATTTCGTTTAAATATTACTGGATTGTACTTCAGTTGTTGCCTGTATAAGATGTTGATATAACTACTAGGCTGCTTCAGTATATGGCACTGAATCATGATGCAACTTAGACATTATGATGTTCCGGACTTTTGCTTGAAGATATTTTCTCTAACTGGACCTTATTGAGTTTTAATTAAAACCCCTGCTTTATGGCATCACTGGGAAAGGGCTTAACATCAAAGATGGGCTGGTTTTGTTCAATGTAAAATTTGTAGCTGTTTTACAAATGTTATTTTATTGTTAAGGCTTTACTGCATATTTGGTCAGGGGTGAACAGCACCAGTTTAACTCCGTTTAAAATTAATTTAGTTCTTCATAATATGGACTTTTTGTAAATTTTTGAACGGAATTCAACCTCACTGAATTCATTTTCATATTGATTTCTTGATGTGTTTTTTTCTCAGGAAGTGGACAGTCCTGGAGCAGAACAATCACAGATGGAACAGGAAGAGATCACACACATGGATGGCAAGGTGCAGAAAAAGCCCTTTGTATTAATGCATTTCTAGTCTTTTATGTAGCGCAATCACAAAAATGTTCATCCCTGTCCCAGATTGAGAAGGTGCTTCCTGATGGAGGACGACTCATCGTTTTCCCAAACGGCACGAGAAAAGAGTTGTCTGCAGACGGGCTGTCGATCAAAGTCACTTTTTTCAACGGAGACATCAAACACATCATGCCAGATCAAAGAGTGGTGAGAGAGGGCCTAATTGCAACCTTGTTAATTAAAGTAGTGATAAAGTTTGCACACTATACATCACTGTTGGCTTAGAAACTGGCCTACATTACTGAGGTACTGTGTCTAATACTTATCAAGGTTTGTCCTCCGTTTTGTAGATTTATTACTATGCAGGAGCTCAGACCACACATACTACCTACCCTGATGGCATGGAAGTGCTCCAGTTCCCAAACAACCAAATAGGTACGTTCCCAGTCCTTTCAGAAACTGCTGCTCCATAAAAAAGTAATTTTATTTTTCTTAAGTTTTGCTGGTTCTGCATCACAGAAAAACACTTTCCTGACGGACGTAAGGAAATCACCTTCCCTGATCAAACAGTTAAAAACCTCTACCCTGATGGGAGGGAGGAGAGCGTAATGGCCGACGGCACAATAATACAGCAGAACCCGTAAGTACAAATTGATGAATTTGTGTTAAATAAGCTGTGGGTCGGTTTCAAGACTGACACAATGTCTGATGTCATTTGAAAGAGGTTGGTAATATCACAACCAGCTGTCAGAATGTAAAATTCACTGCAGAGCAGTAGTTGGACTACAAAACTATGATGCTGATTCATACCGGATTTAGGGGGCACTCGTGGGCTGGAGGTTAGGGAACCAGCCTTGTGACAAGAAGGTTGCTAGTTTGATCCCCTGAGCTGACAGGACATGACTGAAGTGCCCTTGAGCAAGGCACCTAACCACCAAACTGCTCCCTGGGTGCTGTGGATAGGGCTGCTCACTGCCCCCTAGTGTGTGTACGTTCACTAGTGTGTATGTGGGTGTTTCACTGCACAGATGGGTTACATGCTGACGTGAATTTCCCCGTTGTGGGATTAATAAAGGTTAACTTATTAAAATTATTACTATTTGGACTGCTAAAAAAAAAACAAAAAAAAAACACTGCAGATACATGCTAGAGTAAAGTTTCCAATCTTATCGATAATCACTGAATTTACAGAACCTCCACAGCTGAAACTAATCCACCTCTAACGGGGCTATAGATGTGAAGCATGATATTCACTCAGCACTAATATCATAGACATCTGGCTCGTGGAGTGAGAGTAACACGTTACATGATCTTTCTTGGTCTTTCTCAGGGATGGCAGTAAGGAGATCCAGTTTAACACAGGTCAACGTGAGCTTCACACCGCGGACTTCAAACGGCGAGAATATCCTGACGGCACGGTTAAAACAGTTTACTCTGATGGACGTCAGGAAACGCGCTACCCCAGCGGTCGCGTGAGGCTCAAAGACCCTCAAGGACGGGTAGTCATGGACACCAAGACGTGATCTAATGTGGACCTTTTTAGTCAAATGCTGGATTTGTAGAGAAAGTGGAGAGGAAAAAAAGAGTTCTCTTTGAGTGCTGTGAATGTGTATGTCCATTTTGTGTGGTTTAAACATAATTGTTAAGTATTTATTTGGAATGTACAGTTTTGTAAAATAAATATTTTTATGATTCGGTGTGAACATTAACACGAGTCAGCATATTAAGAGCAGGAATTTACTTATACTGTCACACAGACAAGCTGAATAAACTCTGGACATTAACATAGGTACAGCAATAACACAAACGGTATAGGCCATACGAGTCCGAAGCCTTAAATAAGAAAAACTCTAACTAAAACATCATACTTAAATAAGAAAACTTAAAACATAAAAGCTGTGGCAATATAGAACAAACCTAAAAATACTGTCTAACAGAGACTTGACAGCTTCTAATCCAACCAATGCATGCAAGTAGTGCAACACTGGTACAACCTGTAGAGCAAAAAAAAAAAAATTAGTTCATGTTCTTAAGACCTGCATGCATCCAAACAGAACCTCTTACAAGCTAGAACACACCTGCTATGCTAGCATAATTATTTACTATAGGCTTAACCAAGAGTTGAGAGTGCTATATACAAACATTAGGTCAGCCACAATGGTGACGTTCTACTTTGTGCTGTACTGAGCAGAGAAAACACTACACAGTCAGCGCAGTGGTCATGCAGGACCAGGATTAGGAACTACAGTTCTCGATGTGACTGACCAATTTGCAAAACTGGTCAGAATAGCCTGCTAACTTACCATAATCTGTTTCCTCACTCAAAGTCAGCTAGACCTTTCTCTACAAGAGGCAGATGAACCAGAGTCCCATCTGCGTTGTACAGGATCACCGTCAGCTGTGGCTCTACAGCCTGAAACATCATTACCATCACATTAATCACTGAAGTGGCTCAGATTTCAGGCATTATAACTGTTCTGAGGGAATCTGAGCAGCTGTAGAGCTGGTAGTATAGTGGATTCAAAGTGGCCTTGATAAAGGAATGTCAATGTACAGGGAGATTCACTCGAAAGAGGCCCCGAATATTCCGTAATAACTCTCTCTAGGACAAAGCAATCTGAACGAAACTGTGTGCAATGAGCTCCTCAGTATACGGAGCTTTGAACAAGCCGGGATGCCCCTGCGTTGGAGCGATGAGGTAGGTGCCAGACAGTCGTTGCAATGTTTAACCTCCGTTTGCAACTTCCAGGTGCAAACCCCTCGTACCCCTTCATGTGTCTGGCAGAAAATGGAGATCACTTCCAGCACCACATGTAATGCAATCGTTTATACATATGTCAAGATATGTAGTGTATTTTTTTGGTTCAGGTTGCTTCATCCTAAGGGGAGTTACAACAGAATGTTCGGGGCCTCTTTCGAGTGAATCTCCCTGTATTTTGCCACTGTAGTGCTTGTAGTACAGATTTTTTTTGTACTCTGTTCATGGAGCAAAATAAAGCAAGGATTAACTGCTGCTGCTTCTAACTTACCCACTGTTATGATGTAGAGGGCATCAAAGGGAACTGCACAAGTTTTTAAAAATTTATGCACAAGCAAATCATTCCACTGGAAACAAAGTCATTCAGAGTGGTTCAGTGCGAAATGTCATTCTAAAGTAACCGGGTCGTATTACAGAAACTTCCCATCTTCAGTCCTAAGTTGAGATCTGACAGGTCAAGATAAGATTTTTCACAAATTTGTATTACAGAAGCAAATCTAGGAATTTTATCCCTTCTTGCAGTATATTAAGTTAGGAAATTCTGAACTACTCGATCAAGATCGATCATCATTATGTCTATTACTAAAACGATCTACATAGAGCTGAGAAACAATGTTTAAAAGAAGTGAGTTAGTTAGCCAGACAGCTACAGATACAGATCGGATACAGTAAAAAGTGTCAAAACAGAAGTGCAATAAACTATAAGAACATTCTGAGAGCGCCCCCTACTGTTTATCAGAGAGTTGCCGCTCATCAGTTTCAGTTTCCCAAACGCTTCGGCCGAGCACGCTAACGTTATTCCTCCTAATAAACAGACACCTGTTCAGCTCTGTCTCCTCATTATTCACCACCATCACTGTAACATTTTATCTCATCATTTTTTATCAACAATAACACACAAAGGCATTAAGAGGGGCGGTGGAGATCACCGTGTCTGCAGTGTCAGATTTTTAAAAAAAAAAAAATAAAAAAAATAAAAAACACAATTGAAACTACCGTTTTGCAATATGAATAAATGTAACATTGTTACGCTGGTAGTGAACTGTGCTGCCTGACAGCTGACTAAAAACAATATAAACGATGGTTAAAACAGAAGTTAGGACACTGGGGTTGTCCTAGAGGCAGGACAGTATTTAGGAGATTTAGTCTAGTTAGGATGTTTCTGTAATAACTACGACAGCATTTTAGGGCCACTGTTAATAAAAATAAAAATAGTAGACTTCGAGACTAAAGTCGTAATATTTCAAGAAAAAAGTCGTAGAATTACCACATGAAAGTGGCATTAATGCCAGGAAAGGTCACAATATTGTGGCCAAAGGCTTTGCGAAGGGAAGGCAGCACCTCCTCGTGTTAAATGAGGGGCAGTGAGGAGTTGGTGGAGTTTTACTTTCATATCAATTTCACCCATAAAGAAACACTCAGCCTCCCTGTCTCTCCTGCACATCAGCACCAGCCTTTTAGTAGTATAAGAAACAGCTGAAACGGCTGAGCAGGAAACCGTGTTTATTTAGAATAAAGAGCCAGACGGACTCGGAGGAAACTGTCTCTGTTTTGTTGAAGGAGAATCTCAGGCAGGGTCGTCTACACGACTATCGGGGCTACATCTCTGTGCCATTTGAAGAGGGCATGAAGTTTCACAGTGAGAATGATAATCAAAATGATTGATCCACAAAGAGACAGGAGTGAGTGGGACTCCGGCGCCAGTACAACAACCGAGACCCCAACACATTATGGCAGCCCCCCTAAAGTTACCTCACTTAATCCTCGAAATATTATGACTTTTTCCCTCAAAACAGTACGACTTTATTCTGGAAGTCAACAATTTTTATTTTTATTAATATTGGCCCTAAAACACCTCCGTAGTAATACTGTTTTCTTATCTGGAGTTAATGATAAGATCGTGAACTTAGTAACTGTTGTTCTGTAATAGCTTTTGTCCTAAATTCAGTCCTTCAGATGTCAGAGATTTCAGAGTTAGGATGTCTCTGTAATACAGCCCCAGATGTCAAACATTTAATTCCTCACTTAAGTATTTTGCAAGAAATGTTTACAAATATGCTGCCTGATACTGTTTTATGATGGTTTTAAGAAGGTTTTAGCATAAAACAAATTTTTAAAAATCCATTTATGACAGAGAGGTACATGTAAGGGTGTTGTGAGGCAAGACAGTAAAGAAAGAAAACGCTTTTACCGTTATCAACATTACATATTGTAGACCATTTAACACCAAACCACTCTGACTTTACATCTCGATCAGTGAATTATGCAAATACTTAGGAAAATCAGTGGAATTCCCCTTTAATAACCAACAATGAAAACACGTTCTGATGGGTAGAGGCCTACCGTTACCACAGCGCTGAGTTTGCCATGCAACAAGTCAATCATCTCTAACATGGACTTCATGCTCCACTCTGGCCGGTAGGAAATGCGCTCCAGCTCAACACACACACGTGGTGGCTTGAAGCCCGCCAGCCGAACACACACTGCCTCGCATGGGAATCGGAGGAGTGCCGGCGGGAGACAACGCAATCTGACATACAGAAGAGCACAGAAAATGTATAAACACTCCAATCCAGGACAAACATTCCTGAGACGCAACAAGGATACAACATAAGTTCTATCTGGTGTTTTTTTTTTTTTTTCACCGGAATAAATACCACAGCAATACTTTCTCATTTTCATGATGCACATAATACATCACAATATTTTAGATTTGACGTGTGTGATCAAGTTGAAAGAGACCAAATGCACCAGCAAAACTGCTTGTTGTGCATGACTACATTCAATGAATTGCTACCATGTTCCAGAAGTACTGACTGGATCCACAATGTGCTCAGAAAAGTTTAGTGTGATATAATTTATTGCAACGATAATATAATATCCTATATTGACACACCTGATGTATTCAAGTTAAACCAGCAGACTGTGTGGTTGCGTTTTCAGAACTTCTGTATGAATAAAGCATTTTCTTCATGTGTGCCTACACGCTTGCAAGAGATCATACTTGCATGGTGGCAGGATGTCGTCTGAGCCGAAGTCCACATGTCTCACAAGAATCTTGACGCGGGGGTTGAGCTCGGCAAAGCCCAGCAGCTTGGCGCGGTAATATTTACCATCACTGTATTCAGCCAGACACGGACCCTCTACAGACAGAGACACAAGTCCAAGGTCTGTAAATGTAGCTGGCATAGTTAGGGGTGAAAACCTTTAACCAAATCTTTAACCCATTTCTTCATCCAAAGCATCATGAAATCTCATTTGATTGTTCTGATCCTATAATCAGATTTCAGAATTCTTACAAATACACTGAACACACTGGAAGAACTGATTACACAGTAGTGGAATATACTTCCAATTAGTGTCTAATTGCTGCCATTGTGAAGACCGAATAGGGGGCTGCGCTAAGCTAACGAGATGCCTTTCTATTTGCTGCACTGCTGGTAGCAACAACAGCAAAGTAAGTAAAGGATTGTAACTTTCTATGAAATCTGTTGCTTTCTTTCATGTATTCAACTGTAAAATACATTCAGAACAAACCACGGCTGATTGAAAGGTCAGAACAATCTGGCTGACCATAAGCTTCCTTTATTCCCTGTTGAGATGATCAGACCTAATCAATTTGAAACTGATTTCAAATTGAAGAAATTGTCATGATAGCTGTTCTTTCAGGCATCTGATTAACTGGAACGGACAAAAAAGAACCCATAGTGCCACCTTTAAAGAACACTATCAAAAACTTTGATAATACTAAATTCAACAGTAATAATTGTGCTGTCTGTAATGAAACATGCATTAGTCAGGCGTTCTACAAGCACTGACGACCTACACAATATGCTCAGAAATGTACATAGTGAATCATATCATGATAATAATTATCATCATAGTGCCCAGCTCTACATATTAAATCTAATTTTATGTTCAACTACCATTTAGCATTACTAAGAATGCTTCTGCCATTTTTCTTCAAATGAACAAAGCTGGCTATGTTAGCATATTACTTAGCCAGTTGCACTGCTAGCCTGCAGTTTTTTGTGATCACTGTGAGCTAGTTAGCTGCTAAATAAAAGGTTGTAGCTAATTAACTACACTTAGTATACCTTAAAATGTGCTATATATATATATATATATATATATATATATATATATATATATATATATATATGCCCTGTGGCAGACTGACGACCTGTCCAGGGTGTATCCTGCCTTCCGCCCAATGACAGCTGGGATAGGCTCCAGCACCCCACCGCGACCCAGAAGGATAAGCGGTTTAGATGTTGGATGGATATATATATTGTATACACACACAATATATATACATATATAATAAATACATTTCACGCAAGACAAACATATATAATCAGATGCCTGTGCCAAGCTGCACTCCATACCAGCATCTGCCACTCAAAACCAGCAAGAGCACCATGTTTTACATGACTTAAACATTAATCATTACATTATCAATTTAAATGAGACATGGAAAAAAAAAAGATTCCGCTCATGCATGGCATATTCTGTTATCCATATTCACATTCCCATCAGAAAAGAAACACTTATTCTGAAAAATATCCACAGGGCGACATTTCAAAAGGTTACAGAAAAATTAAGCAACAGTTTAATTTACATGATTAACTACTTACCCACAATGCAGTCAATCAGCTGTTTCAGTTTAGAACTGTCTAACGCTACGTACCTGGGCAGTGACGTTTTACAACAAGCCCCTGCACTACATCCTCCCAGAGTTTGAAGAAGGAATGGTACCGGAAAATGTGGATGATCACGTAGTTCCAACTTTCGCTTAACTGTGTAAATGTATGTCTATGCCATTTGACCAAAATTCTCTAAACAAGTTTACAAAGCACAGCAATTTACAGCAAATATCTGAATATTGGGGCATGTATTTGTGTTTTGGTAACTATTTACTTTGTGTGTTTGTTAGCACTGTTAGCCTAGTAGCTCCAATCCTAACTAAAGACACTTAGACACCAAACATATCTTGATGGATCCATTGTAGAAATGGTGATAGTAACAGTACCAATGGGGAAGTCTGTCAACTGGGTCAACGAGTCTATGTCCCTGTTCACTCGTTGTAAGGCTTCCACCAGAGGCTCCTGCTCCTGCTCAGAAACTGCCATCTCCAGCAAACTCAGGAACACCTGCAAACAGCACAAAACAGGAGTGAGAGAATATTACATCTGAATGCCATTTTGCACAAAAGCGCACACTGAAAACGTATTTTTGCACTACCTCATTAGGGGTACGGATGTGCTTGATCGTGACTCGGAAGTGTTTCCCTTTATCTGGAAGTCTGGGGTTGGTGTACACACCTAAAACGGTCTGGGGCTCCTCCAAGCCCTGTCGGAAGAAAGTGTCAGTTCACTGGTGTTTGCCCTGGGAGTTGATCTGGCACTTTAATTAGGATATATGGCAAAGGAATTTTGATGTTCAGTCGAATTAAAATACTCAATTGTGCCAGGTTTGGTGGACAAAGCAGCCCTGAAATGTTACTGAGAGGAGAAAAAAAATGGGACTATTACAATAATAACCCCTGAATAAACAAGTGCTAGACTGCAGAAAAGGTGCTAAGGGAATGTAAGTAGGAGTTTTAAACCAAATACGTCCTAGGGGCGCTGGGGCCCCCGTAATTGACCTCTTGGACCCCTTGAATGTCTCAATCAAAATTCTGGGGGGTCTCTGAAAATTATGACAATATGCTCTCCTTTCAGGAAAAACAGAAGCTTGAATAAACATTCATTGCTTGGCTACTTCACCAACAACTGGCAAGCTCAGTGATAAAGCTCAATCATAAAACACAACCAGACTAACACAAGCTGTAACGACTGAGGCAAGTACAGCAGCTCTACCTCTGTGTTTAAGTCCCAGTCGTCCAAATCAGGTGCCGGGGGTTTCACCACGTAATCCTGTCGTACACACACAGAAGCACATACGCGCTTATCTTTAATCACTTTAATAATTCACAAAATCTAAAATGACCTTACCAAACCCACTATCAGACCTCATGGCTGCTGATGGGTGGGTCCATGGTAGCATGCTGATGGTGCACCATGATTCTGCTCAGTGCCATTCCGTCCAGCATTATCTCCACGGTAACCATGCCTCGCAGATTTTCTGGCAGTTCCTAAGAAATGACAGAAAGGACGTTGATTATACAGAGGTGTATTTAAATACTGAGTAGTTAATATTAGGGTTACACAGTCAAAAAGCATGCTATCACCAGGCTGACTTATTTGCAATTTTCCACCCGTGTTGCACTTTATGATTATATATAATGTGACACACACACACACACACACACACACACACACACACACACACACACACTATATGGACAAAAGTACTGACACCAATGGAAGCTTTTATTACATCCCATTCTAAATCCATAGGAATAAATATGGAGTTGGTCCCCCTTTGCAACTATAACAGCTTCCACTCTTCTGGGAAGCTTTCTACAAGATGTTGGAGAGTGTCAGTGGGAATTTTTGCCCATTCATCCAGAAGAGCATTTGTGAGGTCAGACACTGATGTTGGACGAGAGGGCCTGACTTTCAATCTCTGTTCTAGTTAATCCCAAAGGTGTTTGATGGGGTTGAGGTCAGGGTTCTGTGTGGGCCAGTCAAGTTCTTCCCCACCAAACTCACCCAGTCATGTCTTTATGGACCTTGCTTTGTGCACTGGGGCTCAGTCATGCTGGAACAGAAAAGGGCCTTCTTCAAACTTGGAAAGTTGGAAGCATACAATTGTCCAAAGTGTTTTTGGTTTGCTGAAGCCACTCCAGTCGCATTTTTGGCATTGTCCTAGGTGATGTAAGGCCTGCATGCAGCTGCTCAGCCATGGAAACCCATACCATGAATCTCCCGGTGCACAGTTTTTGTGCTGATGTTAAAGCCAGAGGAGGTTTGGACCTCTGCAGTTACTGAGTCAGCATAGCGTTGGAGACTTTTATGCACTATGCTCCTCAGCGCACTGCGACCCGCTCTGTAACTTTGTTTCCTAAATGCTTCTACTTTTCAATAATGCCACTCACAGTTGATCGTGGAATATCTAGGAGGAAAGACGTTTCACAAACTGACCTGTTGCAATGGTGGCATCCTACTACAGAACGACTCATTCTTTCACAAATGTCTGTAAAGGCAGACTGCATGGCTAGGTACTTGATTTTACCCACCTGTGGCAATGGGACTGAATGAAACATGATTAAAAGGTGTGTCCCAATACTTTTGTATTTAGAGTGTATATAGCATGAGCCTGCTAAATACTTACACGCTGCATTTCCATAGGCGGCACCACTTACTATTTAACATTTAGTGCATTATTATTATAGTATTTAGTATATTATTATATTTAGTGCATTTAGTGCAAATGATGTTATATTTGGCTATAAAAATTCTGGATCAGTGCCTGAAGTGTCATTGTATGTTTATTTACCATGACTTGAACTCTGACTGAGCGGCCAAGCAGCAGATCTTTCATGAGCGCCACTGCATCCCACTGCCACGCACTGCCTACCTACACTCAAAGCAGACGGGAGGCACAATGTAGATGAAGCAATCATCTTTTAACGTCAACTAATTCCAAATGACGCCATAACATCTACTTACCGGAACGACTCCATTTAACTGACAAGGCACACACAGCTGAGGAACATCCTCACACAGCACCACTGGATACACGTGGCACACTGGAATGTTCTCCACTATACCCTGATCCACGTACCGCACCTTTAATACACAGTAATCACAGGTGAAAGTCTCAGTGGTAAAGCTGCATTTAAAAAAAAAACTATAAAAGTAAGTTATAAATTTTAGACGGCCAAGATTTGCAGCAATAAGATCAACCTTCACATGGCCTCCAATGACCTCCAGCACCTGCCCTCGGTACCAGAGCATGTCCGAGCCCATGACGGCACAGCCAAGCACACTCTTCCAGTTGTAGTGCTTCTGTCGGGGCAGCGTTTTAATGTGCTGCTGCAGGCACTCCCTCAAACGCTCAAACTCGCACTCTGCTCTCACAAAGACACACAAATACTCACATTCATGATGTAATTTTGGCCCTGCATTCCTCCAAGGTTACAAAGAAAATGTTGAAATATTAGATCACTAAACAGGAATTCAACATGATTCCATTATCTTTCATAATAATAATAATAATAATAATAATAATAATATCTGAAAGGCACACACAGTCCTGATCAGGCAGAAAGGTTTAATTCTAGCTCTCTAGCTTTAAAATCCATCTGAATTAAGGTTTAAAGTTTCAATTTGGTTAATGATCATTACAATCACAGACATTTCTACTGTTTACAGACCTAGCAGCATTCTTACATCTGAAGACAACTTGATTGCATGGTGTGGCAAAAAAATACACAGCACACAACTGTCCACTTACCCCAGGAGCGTAAATCAGCAAAGACATGTTTGCTGTTCAGTTTAGCGCTGGAGCTACAGGGTAAATGTTGCTAATAGAAATAAATAAATACATCCCGTCGCAGACATTTGGACACCAGATTACATTTGGGATTTCTGTTGTTTCTGTAATGAACATAAACCTTGAGGTTAAAAATTCAAAATTAACAGTTATACGTAACACGTGAAGCGGAGTCGGAATAAAGCACAAACTCTTGCTAAAAGTGCCTGCTGCAGTGTTCAACCACACAGTGATACCGTGTCCTAAAACACTTTGGAAAGTCTGTGCAAGCTTAATGAAGACTGGGATAAGGTTTAAGAGGGTAGAAAGAAGTTCCAAAGATATATTTTTTTTTAAATAAAAAATTACGTGACTACTGACTTCTAGTGTTTGGAAGCAACATTAGCTTCATAGGTTCAGCGGTAAACTAAAGCAGCAAAACATGGACATCAAATACATCCTTAGTTGACTGACTGCATCTGAGGTAAGTGTAAAATTGTTAAATTTCTTCAACAAACTATTTCATCAAACTGTTCTCTTGCGCACCTGCCTGCGGGGTCATGGCGAAGATGACTCCGTCATCAGAGACTGCAGAGATGCTCATGCGTGTGTGTCCACAGGGTGGCAACTCTGGGGGCAGATAGGCCTGTGTTTTCACTCTCTCCGGAGGTGGTGCAGTGCGGGGGGCAGGTCTGGGAGGACAGGAGCGTGAGGGAGTCGGTGTTTCATTCATCACACTGCCTTCCTCACACACACTATCTTCCAGGGCTGGCACACACTCGTCCTGCACCAGCAGAGTCACCCCTGACTCAGGGTTGGATTCTTCACATTCAGCAGAGGCTGGTTTGAGTGCAGGAGGTACTCTGTAAGACACAGCACAGGTTTACATGTACAAAATAATAAACCAAGGCAATAATCAAATGTGTCTACATGCACTTAAGCAATGTGACTAATGTGACTTAAGTCATCAGAAAAATAGTGTCAGAGAAAAAAAAGCTGCATACGAGAGCCACATCGAAAACATTGCCTGAGAGGCTACTATTAACCTACAGGCCAATAACTTACAGCACAGCAATAATGCCATGGAGAAGAGAAGCCTGTTCAAACCAGAGCAAGTTCCCCAGTCAGAAACTTGCTAACTTGCTAAGCTAACTTCGTTTGGTATGGTTTGGTTCAATCACACTTCTACAGCCCATAAAACCTCTTATTAAAATGGCTTACGCTTACTATATTAGCCTACTATTGTGACTAGGCTGAGATACATGAAAAGGTATTTTCATTTTTAATAGCTTTGATGGATCCATTGATGAGCCCTCATTCATGTTTTGTGATACAAGGCTTTCGGTGCATGGTAGGCTGCAGCATGGCTTTAACTTAAGAAGGACGACGGTTAGAAAAAAAGATAATATAGAATGTTCTGAAGCAAGACACGGGTGGGTGATATCGAAAAAATACCACATCACAATACCGAAAGACATTCTGATGATTCACGATATGTATCTAAATATTCTGACACAGACAAAAAGCAGTAATAGTGCCACATTTAACTGCCATCAAAAACTCTTGGCATACTGATTTTATTAAGTATGTTTGATATCTACCATGTGCCCGCAAAAGCATATTGTTACAATTTAATTTTTTTAAGATAAAATGTTCACCCCTTTCTAGTCAAGATAAAATATCAAGATTTATCAAATATCAAATTAACAGAAAATGTGTTTTATGATCATAAACATAATGTCATATACTTACAATTTACTGCTGAAAGCCAAAAATCTTGGACGTTCTTTGAATTTTTTTTATAAATTTTTTTTTGCATATCACTGAAGAGACGCCATCTGAGATCCAGTTTATAGCTCAGATTTGTGGGGGGGGTCAATTTTTAGTAGAAAAAAAAAATTATGAGTTCAGCTTCTTTTATTATAAAGGTTTTAAAATTACATCACCCATCTATTTGACTTGAAAGAAGACAGTTACAGCTCTCATTCGACACCCACCTTTTCAATGGAGCTTATGAAATATGAAAGTTATGAAGTAAAGAATATGACCAAGTGTGTTTTGGAATCACTGGTGGTTCCACTGAGTTAAAGAGGTTAGAAGAAAACACAGACTATAAAACACATACACTTTCCAGTTCTGCATCTGAAAGCCGTGGACAGTGCGCTTTCTGAGCTTTAAACTGGCTCGATGGCCATCACGACAGATGCAATCTACCTGTTTAATTCCGGATACTATCTGCTCAAGCATACTACACGACTCACATTTGCTTTTGGAAGTGATCTACTTGGGTTGCTAGTCTGAACACAACTCTGCGGAGAACACTTGTATGATAGTGATACCCATATGTTCCACTTCAACCATGTAAAGTGAACACAGCCACAGTGTACTTCTCTCTATCAAACATTAGAAACTGTCGTACTTGACACTCCTCTCTCTTAAAGCAAGTCCTTCACTGATGAGGAAGTCTGCGATGCTGACATCTTGACCTGATCGGTTGGAGCAGAACAGAGACACTGGCGCTGGCCTGGCAGAGGGATCCTACAGACATCACACAAGCACACATACAGATTGATGAAGAGCTCACACTCATTCGAGTGGTTTAACGCAGTAAGCACTCACCTTAATGGTCATTACGGCCGTGGCTCCAGTGAGGTAGTAGGAGATGAAGTCACAGGCTGTAGCCGTCCATGTGGAGCGACCACCTGCTGGCCTGATAGACAATAATATTTAAGCAAAAGTTTTAGGAAAGATAATAAAAGTAAAACAGCACAATGGCAGCAAAACCCACATAAAACATGGTGTGTTACTAAAGATGCAACTTTTTCTTTCAATACTAATTCTGATAAATGAAGTCAGGATACCGGCCGACACAGAGTACCAATCTGACACCAGGGTTCTGTTAAGGAACTTGTTTATCATGGCAGCAAAGTGACGCTGTACAGTGTAAGCTAGACTGATTCTTGTGGGTAGCATTCTAACTGGTAATTAGGTCCAAAATGCAGTATGTATGTAGTATTCAGTCCAAAATGCAGCAGCTAGGTTACTGACTAGTACCAAGAAATAAAGAGACCATATTACTCCAGTCCTGGCTTCACTTCATTGGCTACCTGTCCAGTTCAGGATACAGTTCAAAGTGCATTTATTTATTTTTAAAGCACTTAATGGTCAAGCCCCCTTGTATGTTGGCAGTATGCTCGCTTCCTCTATCACACAGCGAGCTTTGAGGTCATCCTTGCAGAACTTGCTGGCTGTTCCTAGGGCGTGTTTGAAGATTAAAGGTTATCGTGCGTTTGCAGTCTATGTTCAGAGACTGGAACATTCTACCTACCACTATTCGCCAAGCACTTTCAATCGGCGTTTTTAAATAAAAACATACTCATACAAAATCACATCTAAATAGTGAGGGGCTGTGGTAATTATACATGCAAGTCTGTGCTTTATATCTTTTCTACTCAACATCGTATCTGTATTTTTACCTCTTTTATTCATTTTTTCCCCTCTCTGTTTTATATAACATCTCATTTCTATGTTTTAATTTCCTGCTTGTTTGGTTGTTTATGTGTGCTTATTTAATGTATAGCACTTTGGTCAACTCTTGTTTTAAAAGTGCTTTATAAATAAAACTTACTTACTAGGCAAAAGTTTGATTCTCTCACAAATTTAGCAATGACAGCAAGCAAATGAACATTCAATATCAAAATACCAGTATTTTCTAACAGTCATGCCCCAACAATCCTTATTGGAAGGTGCAATTATTTAATTGTTCTGGAAGGTTTATATTTGCATTGTTGATTTCATGACTACGACTATGAAACAGGACTGAATGCCGAGTCCGGCTCCTGGGTCTAGTATAGGGAATATAATGTCCATATTTGTTTAATAAGGTCAGTGTCTACCAGAACTGATCCTGTAAATCAGACCAGCGCATCACTGTTTTTTACCTTATGTCACTGAGGCAACACTCTAGTAGCAAGGAGCCAACAAGCTCAGGGAGAAGAGGCCTCAGGTTACTAGTGTGGACCTTTACAGTATTACCGAAGTCACAACGCAGCACCTGTGGACACCAAGCATTTACCAAAGGCAGTGTTATTTTTAGTACTCTGAAATCTTACGCTGGTAGTATGTCTATAAAAATACTCAGCATTGATATATTTGTAATACTGATAAAATACTCTTAACTGGGTATAAATAGTGTCTGTCTGTGTGTTTACCTCAGAAACATTGCTTGAGGACACACTGCACACCTTTCCTCTCTCCCAAACTCCATTCACATTGGCAGCACAGGGCATGTCCACCTTCCAATCAACCTCCTGCAGATCAGACTTTGAATACTCTCTCTTCAGCAAGTCATGAACCCTAATAAGAATCACATTTATCAAAGCTATGAGCACAAAAACCACCAAAAACTGCACAATAACACTAGTTATTGTATAAGTTATGAGGCAATAAGGTGAGCATATCCTTATTGTGGATGTACAAAATACAGAAACAACAAAATACCAACTTCAACTAGTTACTTATTCTGCATGTCAATCATTCAGACATAAAGGTCAGTACCTCTTCAGCTGGGCATCAAACTGCAGCAGCTGTACACAGATGTGTCCAGGTGAAGTCACATGGGTGACCCTCACCCTCAGGTCCTTAAGACAGGCGGGCAGAGTCAAGTTAAGCTGCAACTCTGAAGGACTGTCAGTATGGGGCGCCGGCTCGGCTGGAGACGAAGCCACCTCATCAAGTGGGGGGTCCCATACTGCAGCCTCCAGTGGGGGAGGTTCTTTTAGCTGGGCTCTGGGCAGAAGATGACAAAATGAGGGTCAGATGTACCAACACTGCAGCTACAAGGGATGTCCAGAATACCATATTTTTGGCTCCAGAGCTTCAGCAGTAATCAACAGCAACCAGTCAAAACTTTGCCCTGCTAGGGGAGCCTAAGACTGAGAGAGTCATTCAGAAAATCTGCATCCGAAGGCCGTATTGAAAGCACATTCTCAGCTTCATCTGCTGTAAAATATGAATCTCTAAGCTAGTGTTCGTACACTTTTAAAATGGAATTACATGACTTTTCCATGACATAAAATGAAATTTCCACGTCAAACATTTAGCACAGCGCTGGGCAATATATCATCTATACCAGTATACTATGATACTGACATACTATTTCTTGTTTTAGTGATATTTTAGCAATATGTTTAGCAACATATTTAATACATTAGAATCATTTAACTTTGTGTACTTTACACATGGTATACAGTCCTTGATTTACATTTAACTAATTTTTTTAAAATCCATAAAAATAAGGAAACTCAGGAAGCATAAGTTCATTAAATTCGTTAAACTTTAATATCATCTGACTGCATTATACTGTGAAATGTGTGAAAAATACAATGATATTGAATCTTATGAGGAACTGCCCAGCACTAATTTAACATACAGACAGCTGTTCTGAGAGGAAAAGAGACCTACATTATCTAAACACTAAATAAATATTTACATATTATTGGCTAGCAAGTCAAAATGCAGTTTAAAAGGAATGACTGGAACTTGCTTTACTAGGTGTGGGTATGTAATGTACTTATTAGGCTACCAAAGTTTTCAGTGATTTTAGTCCTGTTCAAATACACAATGTCTGTGACTTCTAATGTCATTTTTACACTATTTAGGTGCAAGATGTAACAAGAGTCAGTTCACATCTCTGAGCACCCTGAGTACAACAAAGACTGTATAAAATCAAATCAGTGGATGCACCTCAGCAGTCAGCTCATCACATCTTAATGTAGCTGCAGTATGGCGCTTACAGCACAGCTGTGGTCCATCTACCTGCCCCGCTAGCCTCTCTTAGCAGCTGGCTAGAGGGTAACAGCACAGTGCATGCACAGGTTAACCAGCACTTCACAGAGGCGGTCTAAGTCGAGGTACAAAAGGCAAACATCACAGCCCTAGTAAGAGTCAAGTACAGCGAGACACTGTATGCAGCAGCCCTGAGAAAACATGCTGCCTACCACTGCAATAGCGCAACGTTCACTGCAGTGAGTGAGCCGGATATCAGGTGCTCAAGCCGAGAAGGTACATATTTCACATTTTAACAGCATAATTAAAAAATATAAATATAGGACAAGAACGTGCTAACAAAAATTATTGTGGCATGGCCACGTTGCGATGTAAGTAGCCCAGATTTTTAAAGACAAGAAATGTTTATGTTGGGCTGTTTTGGATCCATTTGTAAAAAGACTTTTATGATGAACAGCCTGAATTCGAGTGGAGTAGTGGGTTTCCCGGAGTAGAGCAGAGCGCTGTGTTTTAAGTTTTTAGTTTCTTCTCTCCGTGTTTGGCGCTATAAGAAGCACTGTGTTCGCCATAAGCAGCTGAACAGCGCATGACCTGTTCAGTTTTAACCTAATCAACGAAAAAAAAAAAACATTTGTTTAATAACACATAATATGTAGACATTTTAGTTAAAATGAACAAAAACATTAATATAACGTAAATAAGTGTAAGCGAGGATGTGTATTACTTATAGAACTGGCATACAAGCCTAAATGTGCATGAAACATGAATACTGGACAGGGGAAAAACATGAAATGTGTTTTGATTTCTAATACATAAACACTTTGAGGGAGGACTGTGCAGAATGTGAAGGATCATTAGAAAAAGGGTGGAGATTAGTAGTGGAGTAGTGATAATGCAGCTGATTAAATATTCTAATTTTATTTAATTATGATTTATTTAAGTTTTTTCAACTACTGCTGGCCAGAATGGCATGCAATTTTTCCTCCTTTTAAAATCAGGCACAAACTAGAAGTATGTACATTAGATTCCAATCTGTATTTTTGGGAGACTTCCTGATACCATGGCTAGATGCAGGCAAAGGCCTTTAAAACATGCTGAAACAATATTTACCAACAGAATAACACTTTTACAACACAATAACATTAACACAACACAATAACACTATTTTAACTCTCAGGACTTCTCCAGAGTTTGCCTTGTGACTCCTATGGCTTTGACGTTCCCTGTTCTTGTTTCCTTATTTTGCTGGGAAAGTATTTTATTTATTAATACTGTTATCGCTTAACTTGTATTTTGCCTTTGTCTTTTGTTTGCTGACATCACCACTATGTTACTGAATATAGTGTAGAATACTGAAGGCTGTGCCTCATAGGCATAGTACAGGTAGGGCTGCATACAAGTGCACACTGCGGCTGCATCAAGGTGTATTTTGCACTGTGCCTGTGCTGGAAGACGTGGTTAGACGCAGCCCTCTGTCTAAATGTTACAAATCTTCAGAGAGAGACAGATTTCTCCTAGAAGATGTAATATTATGCACATACTGTTTACTTAAAGACGCCAGTCCTTGTCTGACCAGGATCTCTCCAATGCTGGCCTGAAGCTCAGGGAAACTCTCGCTGACCTCAAACAGACGAACAGGTAAGGCTGTGGATTGAGGCACAAGCTCTGCAGGGGAAAACACAAACAATGCTGCAATATCATATGGATTTAAGACATGCTGGTGCAACAAAACCTTGTATTTCTAAAATGGGACGTGTATAGGAGGAAAAAAAGTTCTTAACTATTACAGGTATTTTTGAAACCAGTGCTATTGGTCAAGACTGTATGCTCTCACTTGTTACCACCACAGTGACCAACTTCTGTTCTGTCAGTTTGCTGAACACCTGAATGCTTTCGTCACTCCAGGTGTCTCCCGCACTCAACACCTCTGCCAGAGAACACCACACTGCCTGAAGAGGGGGGAAAAGAGTTTAGGAGATAGAAAGACATAGCCAACTTGAAGTTACAGGTCTGCTCGATAAATCTGCTGGCCATTAATATCGGCCTGTATTAGTGACTTTTGGTCTTTTCTATTGTTTTTTTTTTTCTTTTTGGTGGAGCCACTGATAGGATGATTTGAACTTCAGATGATACCTTTAATATCAGAATAATGTGTCATAATACACAGAGAAAAACTTTGTTTAATAAAGAGAACTAATGAAAAATGAAACAATAAAAGGTGATTAACAGAAACCAAAACCAATATATTATTTAAGACTGTGAGATTCCCTGGTATAACAGTTTGTAAGCATGACCACTAAGAAATGACAGTTATACCAGTCAGCAAAGCACTGTTTAACAGAAACTATTGGCAGATTTTATTATTATTTTCTTTAAAATTATTATTAGACCCTTAAATCCATATCAGCCACAAAAGTTTCATACCAATTGGGCCCTAGTTACAGAGTTGTGACACCAGTGCATACAGGACTCTTACCATGGCCGGCAAGGCAAAGAACTCATCCTTTATCTGTCTGAGGTCGTTCACAGAGATAGTTTTTCTGTTGCCAAAATCTACATATTGGACCTCCACCATTCGTCCACCAGGAAAACCTGAGAGAGACACACACTCAGAGTGACAGAGTGACCTCTACAAGACACTTCAGGCCAACACAACACAATACATGCACAACCCACACACACACACCAGTGACTTGAGCCCTGCACCAGTCTTTGTCGTCGTAGAGGGCAACGCAGGCCTGGCCCTGAACGGGACAGTAAATCTGCAGCTCACTATCGCTCCCAGGAGACCCATAACAGTCTTGCAGTTTTGAGTTCAGAAGCAGGAACTCCATATTGTCCACCTGCATGAAAAGAAGCACAAAATAATTATACTATAAATAAACTACACTATGAACTATACTCAAAATTTCCATCTTGTAGAATCCACAAAGAATTGAGGCTGTTTTGAGAGGGAGGCCCTATCCAATATTAGTATAGTGGTCCTGATAAAGTGCTGAGTATGTGTACACTTTTTTTTTTTTTACATTATTTTAAATATTACATTGGCCACCAATATGTTATGCACACCTTAAAACATAGAAATTATCTCTATACCAGGCGAACATTTATTACATTTGAAATAATATTGCAAAAGTGCAGTGAACTCACTAGCTGTATGTAGAAGTCTGATGGTGTGTTGACATGGGAAACCACAGCAGGCAGTTCTGTGTTCAGTTTGGGATACACAGGCGGATAAAACTGTAGTGGTTTACTGCCTCCGGGGGCCGCCAGAGGGGAATAGAACCTGCCCATGTGCATCCACACAAACACGCGCACACATGCGCACACACACACACACACACACACACACACACACAAACCACATTTTACATGAAGGATAACTGGGGTACCTGTAAGTTATAAAAAAGCTGCAAGCAAAAACAATCCACAAGGGGAATGAGCTATTAAAACTCATCACTTTTAAAACTCATCACTTTCTTTCCCTTTCAGTTTCACTCAAGGGAAAGAAACTCACACTGGCAAGGTCTCACAAATTTATGTTTGCAGTTACAGACTGTGTGTACATAAACGGTATATGGATTAGAGGTTTTATGTTTAATTAGGTCTGGCTATTACAAGAGAAAACCCTCAGAAAAGGTTTCTTTGCATTGATTTACCCTTCTCTCTAAGGCAGTGGTCACCAACCGGGTTCCTGGAGATCATGTTCCTGCAGAACTCAGCTCCAGCCCAGCTTATTAAATGTACTGATAATCTGGATCAGAAACCTCTCAAGGTTTCTTCCTCCTGTTGAGGGAGTTTTTCCTTGCCACTGTTGCCAAGGCTTGCTCACTGGGGGCGTGGACCCGGATTCTTTGTAAAGCTGCTTTGTGACAACATCTGTTGTAAAAGGCGCTATATAAATAAATTTGACTTGAGTTTGTTAAAAGTTAGAGTGAACTCTTTAGAAGGAAATATCTAGGAGAATGGTTAGTGCCACTGCTCTGAGGCGACCCCATAGCACGACTGCACAACTTTCCCTTCTTTTTCTTCCTCTTATAGATACTTCAATATCAAATTTGGAACGCACATCCCTAACTGGCAGAATATAATCAGCAGTGACAGCCCTAGATAACAATGGTCGCACATCGTACCTGGCAAGCTCCATGAACACAAGATGTTCTCTTAGAGAAAGCAGAGTGTCGTCTACGGACGCTTTCTTCAGATCCACCAGCAGAGTGTCTCTGTCCTCACCAAACACCTGCATCTCCACAGCACTCGAGCCAATCACACGCCTCATCTCGTCACACGCCTCCCTGCTCCAGCCGTTCACCTGATACACATATAAACACCATAATCATAAATCCATAATTTATGGAACTGGACTTTTATTTAATGTCGGACGACTAAAATGAATCTCTGATGGGCTAATGTGGTCAAAAATAACACACAATGCAAGTCTGTTTAGATGATAAATGTCATAAACACCACAAAATGTCTAAACAGCAAATCTAGACTACATAAAAGAGCGTAATCATTTTTTTCAACTTAATACAACTTAACAGTTCGCTGACATTACCATAAACAATGTTATCAAAGCACAGTGAAGTTTACCTGATTACTGATACTCTGCATTATATTGTTTATTATAACAGGAATTCCAAAAACCAAAAGTAAGCAGAGCCATTCTAAGCCAAATGTCAAATACTGCGTTCAAACCAATCGTGTTAGTGCACATTATTAGTTACTGAAAATCACTGTGGTTTCATTAAATAATCTCTGTCTCATGTTGCTTGGCAACTAGGGATGCACAATAATATCAGACTAATACGGTACTGACAAATACTTGCATTCAGCATTAAACAGATGTTTAGATTTGACCAACATTTCAATCCCATATTTATATTTACAGATTTTTTAGAAATTTATGTATGGGACTGGTATCAGCATTGACAGAGGTATACATGGAAAATACTGGATACTGGCACCAGTCCGCAACTCTCATATCAGTGCACCCCTTCACTGTTAACAAACTACACAGCTTGGCAAAAAACTGTTAATTGTGGTTATTAATAATAAATGAAACCATTTATTGAACAGTCAGTTTTATAAAAGCCACACAGGTTGAGAGTTGCAGTAATTTCACAAGGTTAGGGAGGTTTGTCCAGTGCCTTAACCATGGTAAAATCAATGTAACGTACAACCTAGAGTGAGCTATTGCTATGTTCACAGTATGAATTCGCACCAGGTCTGAGGGAATGATATCTTTGAGGGAACACTTGATGGCCTGAGGGGCCCAGCGATGCAGCTCTGCCTTGGTAGCAACATCAGCCTTCCGCAAACACTCATTCAGCCCACTCAGACCTCCTTCACTGAGAGACAGACAGACAGAGAGGGAGGGAGGAAAAAACAACTTTCTTGTTATGGCTCTTTGGGGAGAAAGTATTTACTACATTTCAATCTCAAACACTTCCCAGATAGGCAGCAGAGACACGCAACTTAGGGCTCCACCTTGAACAGACGTGACAACGCTGACTGCAAAATACTTTAACAGTTTCAACAATTCAATCAAGTATGCTTGAATATCAAAGCTCTAACATTTTTTGGCACTCAAGCTGAAGATTACTTGGAGTATTACAACACACTCAATTCATGATACCAGCTTCCTGACTTGATATGCTTGTGACATTCTGAACAAAAACTGAATGAAGAAAAATTATGACCGTTATGTTGCTGTGCAACTTACAATGCTAGAGCTGCGAGGCAGGAATGTGGCATATGAATATGCAGATGCTGGCTGACTGAAAAACAGTGTTTAAATGGCAAAATTATTATATGTCCATTCTCGGTGATGCATTGCCCCTTTTCAATGAAAAGAAGAAGAGATTTTATAAAAAGCGAAAAGTCAGGACCATTTTCTTGGTCCTGTACATAAGTCCTGTTATTTCACTAGCTTTCCAACAAAGTCAGGATATTTTTGTCTTGAAAATGAAAATAAGTACACACACACACACACACATACACATTCTGTCCTCACCCTGAGAAGGTAAGTCCTTTAGAGAAACCATAATCCTGGAAGAAAACTCGCAGGCGAGCAACCTCAGCAGCAGGACACTGACTCACACTCTCCAAACAGCCCTTCTGGAACAGCTCACACACCATCGCCCTGCACCAGGCATCATCTTTCCACCTCACAAACACCAGCACACCTACATACACACAAAAACAGTTAGACAGGGTCCAAATTCAAATTAAAAACAGCTGGTTTGTTGTAGGTGAATTGCTGCATGCTATCCAAGCACAGATAGGCAGCAAACACTTCCCAGATAGGCAGGAGAGACAATCTAGGACTCCACCCTGGGCAGACATGAGACTCAAAGCTGACTTACAATTTCAACAATTCAATTCAATCAAGCGCGCTTGAATATTAATGCTCTAACGCCCACTTGTTGACATTCAAGCTGAAAATTACTTGGGAGTATTACAACACAATTCATGATAACAGGCTTCTGATTTGATATACTTGTGACATTGTGAACAAAATTTAACCGAAAAAAATTATGACATGTTGCTATGCAACAATGCTAGATGTGTGAGGCAGGAGTCAAAATTCAAAACTGAAAATGGTTTGCTGTAAGTGAATCATCGTATGCTATCCAAGCACAGGTATGCAGCAAAAACTCCCCAAGCAGCAGAGACACAACTTGGGGCTCCACATTGGACAGGCATTAGATAAATCTTGCAATAGCCAAAGTAAAAGAAATACCACATAGTTTGTCTTATTTAGAATATTTTATGTATTTACAGATAATACAAATACATATTTTTAAAAATAGCATATTAGCAGAGATAGCAGAGACTGTGTGTCTTTACTACAGACCTGTAGTAAGTTGACATGTGGTGTGCACACTATACATATACACACACACTTTTGTAGGCCTACATTAAAAATGAAAACATATATGATTCCTATTTGTAGCCTAACTGCAAACATTAATAGAAAAAGCTGATCAGTGAATCCTGACTGTTTTCAAACTGAAGCACCTCACGGAACTCACGTTTTGGACACGACGAGTTCTCTACCAGGTGCGCCATTAGCAGTAAAATAGCTTTCGCCGCTTCATAAGAGGAAAAAGCTGCAATGAATTTTAACCTAGAGGATGCTCCAAATGTAACTGCGGCAGCAATTAGCAGCAGCCTGAGTCAATATCTGCGAATCTTCTCCATGTTTTAGTTCCTTGCCCTCACTTCCCGAGTTTCTCATGCAGTCACTGGCTACCACTCATCTCTGCACCTAGTACGTGTTGGTCACAGTACTAGATTCATGACAGATAATTACAAACATGCTCGGAGACTGAGAAAAACGTGCTGTTGACTCGTTAACTCTACACAAGCAGTTGTTACAGGGGAGTGCAATAATATGGCACCAAGCAGGGTGGTTTGTTGCTGATCCCAAAAAAAAGTGTCTATACCTGAGAAAAATTGGGTTAAAATCATGTAGTGTGCACTCAGCTGAAGTGACACTACCTGTGGCAATAAAAAAAAAACAAAAAAACATTCTTAATCTTATGTGTGGCGATTCTCCACACTCTCACCTGTCTTGATTTCGTCTTCAACAGTGAAGTGGCTTTGCTCTCCAGAGCACAGTCTGTTGATCTTTCTGGCCAGCACCGTTCCAGCTTTGTGCTCTGAGACATGTCGCACATAGAAGTGTGTTGGGTTGATTACGTGGGTCAGCACAACCCACTCCTGCAGCGCTGTATCCCCCAACACACACACAAACAGTCAAAACAATGGTTATTCTCGGGTGAAACAACGGACTAAAGAAATGCTCGACCCTTCTTTTTAGGCAGAGCCTTAGTGCTGGGAGGTATTAATAACTCAATATTATGATATTTTGTAAATGTAACAGTATATCACAGTGAAGGGAATCACAGTACCCAGGATACAGTATCACATTTGAGTCATGATAAAATTCTACTTTGACATTATAAGATGTAACATAAGTATTTTAATATATGAGGTCTGACTGCAAATTATTCCTCAAAGTAAGCGTAACAGAATTGAAGTAGAAAATCAACATCCAAAAAAACACTGTCCTTTCATTTTTATATATTTGGTAGATGTGAAGTAGACAAACTTTTACAAGAGACTTTACTAAACAGGCTACATTTAACAAACTGAGCAATTTGCAGGGATAACTGAATGTGACAGAGACATACACATTAAAAACATAAAAACAATATTGTGGTTTGATACCAGCGTAACAGCCTAGTGACAGTCTGTATGAATGTGTTGTTTATTAGCTGCACACACTAAGCTACCTTTTGGTTGTGGAACAGGTGTCCTGTCCTGTACTGTCTTGCGGTTCCTCCGCTGCACCTTCTGTCTCTGTGTGTGCTTGAGCTCCAGAGCTGAGAACCACAATAGAAACATCAGTAAGAAGTAAGGATGGGTATGGTTTTTCTTATACACAGATACACTAACTCAGCCCAGTTTTCATGTACTTAATCAGCCTTTTGAATTAGGCATGTGCAGTTTAACACTAAAAAAATAAAATGAAACTGGTTATTGTGAAGAAGGTTCAAATGACCATCCTCTTTCATAATACCATTCATGCCAATAAACAGTTGCAAGAGACTCAGAGTTAAGTGAGTGTGTACCCACCCATTCCGTCTCTCTCTGCACCACTGTCCGACTCCTCAATGATTTCCTCTATAATAACATTTGGGCTAAAGGCGCTGTACTGTTTTGGGGTGGATCCTGCACCAGGCAGCTTCAGCAGGCCTGATGAAGCCCGAGCTGTTCGATGGGAGCCGGGTGCTCGAAGGCTGGACCGGCCACCTCTACGCTCCCCGGATCTCTCCCCTCCCCCTCTCACCGGCCGTCTACATACCCGCTCTGCTGGTGGAGGCCCCGGCATCTCCTTAGACATACTGAAATAAATCATCACACCATCTCTTACAACTTACTACATCTGCACGTTTCCTTCAAAGAGTCCATGTCAGACATTTTTTTCCCCTGAGGTTCAGTCATGACATTTTTGTTGGCTTACATACCAAAAACCAGTTCTAAAGCAACTTTACATGTTTTTTCAACTTCCTTTTTTCCCTTAGAATTAAGCAGGGTGTTTTCGTTATAATGCCTTTAAGACCGATATATTAAGGCCCAATCCCATTTCTTATTTTTACCTCTACCCCTTGTTTTCGAGTGTCACTTTGCCCCTTTGGAACCGAGTAAGAAAGGGTAGTGGTTGAAATCCCTACAAAATGGGACCCTCAAGTAAAAAAGAGCATTACTTCATTAACAGCTACTAGCGCTGCTCTGTAGGCGACCCTGCCAGTCTGCAGTGACAGCAGAGGAGGGTAAAGTTCAGCTCCTCACTGCTGGGCTTTAGTTACATTTAGGGCATCTTATGATTTCAAAGAGGGGGGATATTTTCTCTGTTAAAAAATTACGATAACCATTATATTATCTTAGTTTAATGTCATTTCAGTGTATTATGGTCTTTTTCTTCATAACAAGCATAAAAATTTGCTGGCGGTATGCTGATGTCTCGGTAGCTAGCTAAATTTGAGGTGCCCGAATGTAACTGCTGCACCATTTAAGATGAAATGTGAAATTTAGCTAGCCAGCTACCGAGACATCAGCATACTACTAGTGATTTTTTATGCGTGTTACGAAAAGGACCATAATACACTGAAACGACATTAAGATAAACCAATGGTTATCATGATTTTTAACTGAGAAAATACTTACATTTGTTGGTTTCTTTGGTCGCTTGCACAGCCATCTTGCCTGTTTTTCTTTGTTTCCTTATAGCACTGTTTGGAGTGTGCCTCTGAGAAACCTCTGTTTGGAGGGCCATGTAGCCTTAACACGTCACCCTACTGCTTTAGAAGATAAAGACCCTACTGATTAAGACTGATTCAAGTACCTGGAGAGTGTAATTATATGTAATATTTCACAAATATCAACAAAACTTGCTGCAATAAGCTAAGATACAAACATTCTGGAACCATGTAATACTAAATTTGTCATGTTTCATCAGTGCTGAAGGTCTACACTACACTAATACACTAAGACATACTGCGCTCACTTTGCAGCAATGATTTTCATATGTCATTTCACATTAATTTTAAATTTATTCAGATTGACTTTTTCAAAATCTTTGTGTCAGACAGTACAGCTGTCTAAAGTGCATGATTATCTCAAGCAAATTCCATACACTCAAGTTTGGCAAGCGATTTAATGAACACTGTCTTTAAAAATCACTCATAGGCTGCTTGTCTGACCACACTGTATAGGTCAGGTGTTACATTTAATAAAAAAGATGATGTACCCTCTCTAATAGACCAAATCTAGGTTTCCAAAAGGATACAGCAAATCCAGTTCAATGCTTTTTAAAACCTCAACATAGCAAAATTAATACCATTTCCACTACATAAGGCACACGGACAAAAATGGCATGACTTAAATGTCTTCCAACCACAGGGTTGCTGTCTGCTGAATACTGTGTTTGGAAGGCTATTTGCTCTTTGCTTTACTGGAGTAAACAGACTGCCAAAACAGAACTGTATCTAGTTTATTTTAGCCAATATCCAATCCATTAAAATACATAGGACATCCCTAAATTTTATTCTTTTAATAGTAAAAAAAAAATAAATAAATAAAAAAATTCAGACATTTTATAACCTTACATTTTCAATATCTATTTTAAGACTTTAAAAGCCTTTTTATGGATACGTGGGAACAATAAATGTACACGCAAAACATCACACTGTTCCATACACTGAAATAATTTTTAGGACTCACAGCTTAACGTTGCCATCCATGATATAGAGAAAGTTTTTCACACCTTCAGTCAGACGGTCCATATGGAAAACGCACCTACACACAAACAAACATTAAAAATATGTTTTTTTCCGTTAAAGGAGAACGGAGTTTGCAGCACTAAGAGAAAAGGGCTCTCAAGTTACATTAATTTACTGCTTTAATGACTAAACTTTTTCAAATATTTTAAATATTAGAACATTTAATGTTTTTACTACCATCAAATAAGGCACGTTGCCTACTGGACTAAACACTCGTGCTGCCCAGCTTGGACGAGATACAGACATTAGGATGCCCCTGGCAGTCAGGCTAATACTTGCTTCACAGATTTTGGTTTTTGTGTGTCACGCGTTCTTTGCTCTTTTATCGGCAAGTAAAACCAGCGAGAGCTCTCCCTCCTGAGTGTCTGAAGACATAAGCAATTAACTCCCTATAGTATTCTTCAAGTCATAATAATCAAACGCAGTTATTCAGTATTTGGACCTTGGGTCTTGACAGTCCAAACAATATTTAGTGTTGGTTTAAAGAGTAACTTCACCCCAAGCCCTTTTTTCTTTCATTAACAGCTGAAATGCACTGCCCTGTAATAATAAAATATATGAGCCTTGCTTAAAATGTGAACACATCTTTCCAAACTGTAAAAATATAATTTTTATCGTGGTCAGTCACGCCTCTGCAGCGCCCCTGCGGTTCAACTCTGCTACAGGCGCGGATGACGTGTCTTCGTACTGAAGTACAAAGACACGTCACACTACGCAAATCAGTCAACCAGCATTATCGCGCCCCTGTTGACGCCCTACTCGTGCTGTCTGTAGTGACTGTAAATAACCCAGTTAATCTAAGCTTAGTTTATAATAAAGATGTTGGACTGATTAAGTGAGGGTTCTTGCGAGTCTCCATAAAGCTGCCGGTCTTGCGTCCAATTCATGTTTCCCTTCACAACTCGGACCCTCGGGCGCCGTACTCGCTGAACAGACATCAACGGCAAGCAACACTGGAACTACGGAAAGCAAAACAGTTCAGGAAAGGTTAACCTTAAATGGCCATTGTTACCGACTGTGTCAGGCTGTACGGGTCAAAGGTTTTCTCAAACTGTTTTCCTGCTTTCCGGAGTTCCAGTGTTGCTTGCCATTGATTTCTGTTCAGTGAGTGCGCCCAGTGTTCGGTTTATACAGGGGAACGTCATTTTGAGTGGGAACTGAATCGCATGTAACACCGTGGCATGAACAGCTTGCAGAACGAAAGGATTTAGGGCCACTGCAGCAAACACTGACTGACCGGTGATGCAGTCTGCAATCTTGATGTCACACTGAATGAAACTCAGACAGTGTTCAAAGAAGTCCACTTTATTCATTCCGAATTCAGTGCGTCTAAGAAATCAGGTATCAGGTTATGTCGAATATGGAGCTGCTGAACAGATAATTAGAAGCAAGCTGTCACGGTTTTAGAGAATGTTTTACCATCGGACGCCTCTGCACTATGTTACCTCTTTGGCGGCTGGAGTCAGTGGCTTGAGTCAGTCAACCTCGTAAAACCTCTCAGTTGCAAAAGTGCCATTTGATTCTGTCTCTCTCCATATTTTCTGGTAGCTAACATACGCTAGATCTAAAAACACAGCAGCCCAGCCCACCCGGTTTCCCTCGCAGCCCCACCTCCAAACCCGTAGATCATTGCAGTGCCCCTCTCAACGTGCCCCTCCCATTTTTGAGCATTTTTCAAAGTTAAGCCAGGGGTGGAGTTGCTGAAAGTAGTGGGGTGCAGTTACTCTTTAAAGAGTTATAAGCATTTCTTATATATGTCTATAGAAAACACAGAAATATGTTCTAATTATTATTTAAACTAGTATAAACTGCAAAACTGTAAACATACATTTACAACTGTCTAACACTGGTTTGTTTTAATAGCTGAAAAAAGCAAATCAAATTCATTGCTACTAATTACCTTTGTACATACAATCAAAGTTTACATCAGCCAAAACCTCCTTTCTAACAAAGCATAAGTTAAACTCAGTGTCGGTCTTTCTTTCTGCTCCGAACAGCTTAGCTAGCATGTCCTTATTCTCAGAAATAAAGGCAGCTCAGACCATCCTGGCTAACTAAAGGTACGAAACCGCTCTGGACTGAAACTTAATACCGATATTAAAGCTTCAAATTAGAGCTCTAAAACAGATAGAAATCAACATATACTTCATTCTTTGTAAAAGTATTAATTATTTGGATGATTTTACCATTTTAGACATTAAACTCTGGATCTAATGAATTTCAGTAAATACTTAAATATTCTTGCACCCCTATTAATTTCATTTTTTGCACCTCTTTCAGCTTATTAACAATCTTACCTTAGTTCTGAACACAAAGTCAGGCAGCTCATATCATACGATTCAGCATCTACTGGAGTCTGCAAAGTCTTCAGAATCTAAAATTACACATGCAGACAAACAACATTTAGTTCTATGTAATAAAGGTTCATACTTTAAATATAAACAAATGATGCACATACACATACTGCAATTTACAAATGAAGTTTTGCACACTGTACATTCAACTTGTTTACGTACTGTAACAATCATTTAAGATGTTACTTTATCTCCTTGGGGCTGTTCCAAGGCAGTCTGAACACATTTTGATCAAATACAAAATAAATCTTTTTTCTTGGTCACCAGAATGTGCAACATTCAAGAGAAACATTATCTGGTTACAGAGACAAATGTAATCTTTCCATCACTGTAAATTGCTCAAATGTGTCAATAAGCAATGGGTAGTTATTTTAGTAAATAAGAAGCGAGGACATAATATCTTTTACTTGGGTTTCCTTTATTTCAATTCATAAGCTGTTCTATGTCTCAATGTTTTGGCTAGGACACTGTGACAAGAATAAAAACATAAATAATATTATAAACACAGTTAACCATGCAGGTCGACTATAAGCAGTGAAATACTGATACTTCGCAGACGTACCTCGTCCAGATGGCAGTAAGTTCCTAGCGAAGGGACTTGACGAACATGTCTAGCTTTCTGGATGGCTGTGTGCAGCTCCTTCCGTCTGTCCTCCACTCTCTGACACTCATCCCATCCGGCCGAGAAGAGCTGCTCCAGAGAGCCCAGTTCGGACATCAGCATGCCGCGCCTTCACATCCATTCATACACAGATCCCATAGATTATTACATCACACTTCTATACCAGGGGTGCACAGTGTATAGGCGGTCGACAATCACATACACATCTATACCAAAGAGGTTAAAAATAATGCAAAAATGAATAATTATACATGGAATTAGTTAGAAGGCTCATTTTAATGCAGATCTGTTGCCGTTACTGCTTCATACATTTTGCAACACAGTCTATGCATTTTACACACAACACTGAGTGAGAAGAGTCATCACATGCTAAGCACTTAACGTTGTGTTCATGACCACGATAAAAATATCCAATATGCCAATGTGTGTTTATACCAGTGTTTTCCCGAGTGTAAAATAAGCCGAACAGCCTGCCCAACTGCACATCGCTTGGTTTGTGTGTGGCAGAGAGGACCTGTCTTGTGCTGGAGATGCCTCATCTAACTATAGTCTTCTACCGTCTAAGTTAGTCACAGTAAGCTTTGATCATACATTTCTTGATCCTTAAATAAGCAAAGCTTCTCTGCATTTTATTACAGGTGGGTTTATTGAAACAAGATGTTCAATAAATGGTAATAAATTACGTTAAACTCAAGCTTAACCAGCTCTGACAGATTGGATGGATCTACCACCCATCCTGGAAAAAAATCTAGAGAAAACACTGTATACACACACTGCTATACCAATAATAATCACTAATCACGCTAAATTCGCCAGTCGTTTTAAAAAGTATTCACAAACATATATCTGGGTAACCATATTAAAAAAACTAATAGAAAAAAAAAGGTAAAAATCTATTTCATCTGAGGTTAACGGTTGCATACCGTTCTGGGGGGCCGGCACTGGCATTGCACGCAAGAATATACTTAAAATTTTCATTATACAAAAATAGCCAAAGTAAAATGTGCAGGTTTCTGTGTTGGTGAAGTAAACTAGGCTTATCAGACGAGCTAATAAGCTAAAAATACAGCTGACAGGTATAAGCACTGGATGCTGACAAGGAATTGTCATCTTCTACATACGTTTTTTCTCTTCAGCGGACGTTTGTCAGAACTTTTTTTAAACTGTTTCTGGACGCAATATCAGCGTAGCCTATTTAGCAATAAAAGCTACACTGTTTCTGCTTTCTGTCCTTAACAATGTGTCCTTGCCTAACACAGCTACATTCAGGCACTCAGGTTTCAGAAAAGCGTAACATAACATGTTTACTCACAAACACGCACAAAACATTTTGCAGTTTTGTAAAAACATAAATTCAGCATCACTGAATTGTTGGTCTGTATATTTTCTCTGTCTTCCTGGGACGAAATGTAACGAATACCCGAATTGTGATTTCAGTACTCACATACTGGCACTTTGAACGATAACCAAGTACTGAAGACTGAAACTCTAGAAATCTGATAAACAATGTAGATTATTTTGCTGCTGTCGTATCTCCATTTTTATCCTTTTTCTGTTTTTGACATCATTTGAAATTACCTGTTGCTGTTTACACTGTTTGTAAATTTCATGACGAATGGAACAAAAAAAAAGACCCAAAATCACTTGGAAAAAAGTTTGGTTCCTTTGACCTACATTTAATGTAAAGTATGTTTTTTCCTTCTCCTGTAAAGTTACCATTTTGGAGGTTTTCTTCCGACAACAGCAATTTGCATTAAATCATATACATGTTTGTAATAATCATATCTAATTTTGCTGTCATGGCTACGTAAAATCAACAAATGACACATATTTAACCTGTTTAGGCACACCAAACAAACATGCATTACAGCATGAATTTGTTTTAAAATAAAAAAAAAAAAAAGGAAAATGATCAGTTGCTCATATCAATTTTTACTACAAGGTATTTATTATCATTCATCATATCTGCTCTATTCTTAAGGTTTCTTCCTGTTTCACTTAGTGAGTTTTTCCTTGCCACTGTCGCCTCTGGCTTGCTCATGGGGGCTGGGACCCGGATTTCTTTCTGTAATGCTGACTTCCTTGTAAAGCTGCTTTGTGACAACACCTGTTGTAAAAAGCGCTGTATAAATAAACTTTGCTTGCTTAGTAGTCTTTTTGTGCCCACCTTCTATGTAGTACGCCAACTGCCTTTTCTACGCAATCCTCAATTTCCTTTGTGATCCGAGACTTCTCCTTTGTCATCTGAGCCTGTATGCCTGTAACAAAAGTCTTGTAGAAAGGAAAAAAAAATTAAAACAACACTTTTGATCAATGCAAGCATCAGGTACATTAGGTAAGACCACCTAGAGAGACAATATAATGTAGTGGTTGTAATCTAGGCCTCTTACCTGGTGCAGGCTATCTAGAGTATTAAGGTTTTCTGTTGCTTTAGACAGAGCTTCATCTAGAACCTCCAACACATCCGGACTCTAGACACACATACATCTCCAGTATTATGCTGTCAGCTGAATAAAAGTGATTTTTCAGTCAGATCATAGCACTAATGCCATGATTTGGCCTTATAAACGATTATTTGTGAACTGGATCTGTACCACTTCAGTGCTCTGCTGCTTCTGGTCAGGTGGAGATGCTGAAGGACTCCTAAATCGGCGAGCTCTCTGCTTATCTCCTTCACGGTGTCTGCAGAGGGTGTGTGCGCGCATTTAAAAGTTAGACAATTTCTTTAAATCATTTAATTAAATAACATTTATACCTTTTTTTTAAAAAAAAAAACAAAGTTACTTTAATATTTAGTGAGTGATGAAAGTGTGTGATTAGTGCTGGGCAGTACTGGGGACAATTCAATATCAAAAATTCAAATTACACTGCAGTTTACCGTCCTACCTAGCAACTGGGACACCACCATTTTATGGGTACATTTACATAATGCTCATTATCAAGCAAAATATATCACAAAAACTGCTCAAATTTAAGCACAATATCATGGTCTGTCAATATCACAACATACCAACAGACAACAATTCATGCCCACTGTGTATCAAATATATTGCTGAAACTTAAAAGCAGGATCACTGTGTGTTAATGTCACAGACCACTGTTACTAGTGTCACTACCTTTTCTTGGTGTTCATCTTGGCAGTATAGATAAGTCCTATTATTCTGCTGTCCACCTGCAGGCCATCCACCCCTTCCTCACCAACGTTGGTACCCATCTGCAAAAATGAATTTAAAAACTTTAAAAAATAGCAAATAGTGGGTAGGAATGAATGTCAGCGTATTAATTTAAAGGACCATATCATGCAAAGACAAATAACATTTTTGAAATAACTGAGGTAATATGTAAACATGGTTTAAGTTTCAACATTCACTCTAATATATATATATACATACACACAACGATCAGGCATAACATTATGACCACCTCCTTGTTTCTATGCTCGTTGTCCATTTGATCAGCTCCACTTACTATATAGGTGCACTTTGTAGTTCTACAATTACAGACTGTAGTCCATCTGTTTCTCTGCATACTTTGTTAGCCCCCTTGTACCCTGTTCAGTGTGTGTTGCGCTGGTACGAGTGGATCAGACACAGCAGTGCTGCTGGAGTTTTTAAACACTGTGTCCACTCACTGTCCACTCTGTTAGACACTCCTACCTTGTTAGTCCACCCTGTAGATGTAAAGTCAGAGACGATAGCTCATCTGCTGCTGCACAGTTTGTGTTGGTCATCCTCTAGTCCTTCATCACTGCCCACAGGACGCTGTTGGCTGGATATTTTTGGTTGGTGGACTATTCTCAGTCCAGCAGTGACACTGAGGTGTTTAATAACTCCAGCAGCCCTGCTGTGTCTGATCCACTCAGACCAGCACAACACAAACTAACACACCACCACGTAAAAATACACAAACCTCTATATTTACACACAGTACAGCTCAAACAGCCAATCAAAAACTTCAAGACAAACTAAACAAGAGGGCTCCTCAGATTAGCCTCACGTGATTCCTGCTGACACACTGCTACACTGTGTTGTTGAAAGAGACAGATGACCATCAGAACTATGAAACATACTTTACATACAGCTGTGCAGAAGTGCTTTTCTGATGTCGAACAAAACCCGCTGTTCTCCACTGCAGCACTACTCAATCCAAGTTTATCATGTAGCATAGCTACCTAATGCACGTCATTTAAAATCAGATGAGTTAAATGTTAAGGTATGTTGAACTCACACTAACAGTGGCTTAATTCTATGAAGGTTATGATATGGTATCCGACTCTAGATCAGCAAGTACTAAAAAAATTACTCGTAATCAGCATGAAAAAAGGCATTTATGTACATACATACAAACAGCACTGGCCAATCACTCTAGATCAAACAAAACAATGCAGACTATAACTATATCTGCCAATGCCGTGGAAAGAGGGGATTTCATGTGTTTTTGCTGTGCATGCAAACACATCAAATTACTGCCTTATTGATTTGTAATCAGGGGATTACTGTGCATGAACAGTCTCTTTATTAGTCACCTTGCACTCAGGGCAGGCGATGAAGCCACGTGGAGACTCCAGCGTACGAAGGCACACTGTGCAGAAGATGTGACCACAATGCAGGACATGGGGAACATTTCCCACCACTTCATCCTCTGAACACAAAGACATAGAAAAGTAGTAAGAGTTCACACACACAGACATATAATTTCAAATACAGTAGAATCTAACTTCATAGAAATCCAGCACTCAGAAATCTCAATCATCTGTGAATATTCATCAGATATTTTTATTATTCCTATTATTACTGAAACATATTTAGCGTGACCTTGTAAGCAAGGAACAAGATTTCCACAATATATAATGTATTATTTTAACATTAAACCAAGCAAAACTAATTCTTATTTTAGAAGAAATATCAAGTTATGACAGCAATCCTAGTCCTGAAGGGTCCTTCTCCTAAACATTTCAGTTAACACACCCTTCAGCTCAGGACGGGCGTTGTTAATTAGCTGATTGGTTGAATCAGGTATTTTGAAGCAGGGAAAACACTAAAACAGAGGTATCCAATCTTACAAAGAGCCAACGCACAAAGGGCTGATGATTGCAGATTTTCATTCTAACAAAGCAGGAGCACACCTGGGGCCCATCTAACAAAGCAGGATTTCTTGCTTGGTCAGCTAACTTTAAGCTTAGTCCCAATCTTACCCCGGATTTTCTGTCTCACGATGGTAGATCTCTTTTTAACAGCTACAGTGTCATGGCAACTTATGCTGCACACTTAAACTGCTTTAAGGCAGGTTAAGTTCAGGAATATGGATAGTCAACAGCTCTTGAACCAATCAGACAGCCTTCTGACAGTGCTTTTGGGGTCACTTTTTTTCTCTGTGGCAATAATCGCATGAAAATCTCTCTTTTCAGAAGACAAATCATGCAAAAATATAATACAAAAAGCATTTACAACACTGATAAGCACTAACAGTGTCAGTGCTGACAGTGTTGCTTTTACCATTATAAATGTTTTGCTGCTTACATAGTTACGAAGCATGATTTCTTTTATAGGCTTCTAATGTTTCACATAACTGGCTGTTCATCATATATGTCAGGCTTTCCTGTGCCGCACACACAAGAATTAATCTAAGCATAATATTCATCAAGCAAAACGGTCTCTTTAAACGTATCATCAAGCACTTTTTGGAAGATTTCAAGTAATATGTTATGCTTATACCATATTCAAAAACCCAGAAAGCACTAAAGACACTTAACAAAATCAAAGAATTTAATGCCGTGTGAACAATGTGTGTTTTTTGTACCCATAGCAATATCTGTAAGTTTTCTGTTCCTGACAAATAAAGGTTAAATCCTAGTATCCTGTAGTATCTACACCTGAGTTACAGAGGAGATTCCACTGATTTTTCCAAATTTCTGCATAATTTCATCATTAAGTGTGGTGATAGGAACCAGACATCCAAAGCACTTAATGTGTCTAATGGCAGGATCACACAATATTTTTGTCTTATACGAAGGTCACCAAGTCAGATTAGGCAATCATAGTGGCATAAATCTGTGCCGTGTCTTGGTCAAGAGACTGGCAACACTACAAGTTTGATGCGGACCAACCATCGTTCACGTTCTTGCATGAGTTCACAGGTGGTCGGGGGGGAGGGTCAAGAAACTGTCAATCAGAAGCGTTGTGTGTGATGTGGGCAGGTTTGTGTTACGAAAAGAAAAAGAAAGGAATAGCAATTGTGGAGCCCTTCCTGGGTGTCATGAAGAGGACAGTATGGGCCGAAAAACTGATAAAATCAGTGGAATTCCTCTTTAACAGAGAAAAACAATATAACTGACTGCATTTATTAGGTCTTGTCAGGGACCCAGTCTTAAATGGGAATTCCACCAATTTTTGTGAATAACTCAGTCCTTGAGACGTAAACAAGAGTCATTCAGAGTGGTTTGATGTGAAATACTTCATTTGTAGAGAAACTGACAGAATTTTTAACTTTACAGTGGTGGTGATAGGAACCAGGGTTCGCCCTGTCTCCAACACTAATATAGCCATTTTAATTACTATCCAAAACCTTTTTAATATATGCAACATTGACGATGGTAAAATAGTCACAAATGTGAAAAAATAAGCTTTCTTTGGGGACCATTTTGCCTTAAAAAGCCCTGCATGTATCTGTCCGCAAAGATTTCATCAAGTGAAATGGATTCAAATACATTTTAATCATCACAAAACTACCGTAAAACAGTGTATCAGACATCAGAAAGCATATATCTAATCATTTTACGTAATAACTTCCTGTGAGGGAGCTTTTAGAGGTGGACGTCTGGTTCCTATCACCACCACTGTGAACAATTCTGACTCTTTCTCTACAACAGAGCATTTCACACCAAACCACTCTGAATTACTTTGTTTTCATCTCAACCATTTAATCATGCAGAATTTTTGAAAATCGGTGAGGTTCCCCTTTTAAAGTTTACGGTTGCTAATATCTCCGTTTTTATCGTCTAACTGAACCGTTGAAAGAAGTCGACAGTTACGGTAGCGTTAGCTTTGACGATCAACTTACGCAGACAAAACCACAGAGACGACAAATTTCGCCACTTGTGTTCTCAGCCAACCTCAATCCAGTGATTTCTGTGCATTTGACGTTAAATACATTTATTTCTGTCGAAATAAATATGGAAATATGTCCAGAAACGTAGACCTTTCCTAAGAAATGTACCGTTAGACTTTTCCTAACTCACCAGCTAGGTCACCGCGCTACACGAGGCTGAAGTCAGCTTCTCGTTCGAATTTTTCCGTTCCACCTTAAATGGTGCAGCAGTTACATTCTAGCATCTGAGGCGTTATACTACCTGCTGCACCATTTAAGGTGGAACGGTAAAATTCGAACATGAAGCCAACTTTTAGCTTGGTCCCGGCTAACATTAGCAGAGCTAATGCTTCCAGCATCAGCTATCATAACGGTTAAGTTCGTGTATCCGGCTAGCAACGTTTTCTCTCTAAATTCGCTCTAAAGTGAAGCTACAACTAACAGTAAGTCACCCCGATAACAGCTGTGCCCGTTTTCCCCGAGTTTACCGGGTAAAGTGTAAGGTAAGCCGCAGTTATTGCAGGTCACCGCCGCGTCCGTCATTTTCTCTCTTCTCCCTCACCGTTCACAGCCGGGTGAAAGCTTTGCTCTCATTGGTTAATTGGGTGATACAAATCATCCAATCAGAGCTGCCCTCGCTGAAGAGGTTGTGGATTTCCCTCCAAAAAAATCCCCACAACCTCCTGAGACCCAGAAACATGTAAGTTTGAGATTTTCGGTAATTTTAGGGTAAAATATGCGGAGCCCCGCTGGTGACATCCTGTATAAATAAAAATAATGCGCGTCCACGACTTAGTAAGGTGTGGGAATGAGATGATTAAGTCGTGGCCACGACTTAGTAAAGCGTGGGGACGAGATCCTAATGCGTGGCCGTGATCTCGTCCCCACGCCTTACTAAGTTGTGGCCACGACTTAATCATCTCATCATAAATGCATATTTTTCAACTGCTTACTTCTCTTGCACCCATAAAATGTGGTTGCTGAGATGGCAGCCATTCTGCAAAGGCAGAACTCCTGTTGTGAATGACAGACCCCAACAAATGATATATCATTGGAAAGGCCAGGATGTCTCTACATGGCACACCAGGTTTCAGCACTGTAGCTTATATGGTTTTTGAAATATCCTTTGGGGACTCATGTCCACCACAGAGGACAAAAATGAATTACCAGGTCTCACGATGGATATGTCTGACAATTAAAAAGGCAAAGTTTAGTTTTCAGTTTGATTGTTTTCATTTGTGTACATTGTCTGTAAATCACTTCGAATGACTATACAAATAGCATTATTATTATTAGGCTACGTTTTTACACTTTTAAACCTCAAACTGGTCCCATCATGAAGATTAAAGGAGAACTCCACCCATTTTTCAAAATCTCTGCATAACTAATCGTTTCATCTTAGAATGGTTTGATGTGACATGGTTCATTGTAGACACTCAGATTTCTTTACAGTGGTGGTGATAGGAACCGGGGTCACCATGTATACAAAACCAAGATAGCTGTTTTATTTACTATCCAAAAGTCCATTATTCATATAAGATCTAAGACCTCCAAAATGTTGTAACAGTTACATTGAAAAAGAAGATTTATTGTTTTCCTGAAGCTGAGATCTCGTAAAAAAAAACAAAAAAAAAAACTGTGAAGTAAGTTGCCTTATGATTTTAAGCCGACCTGACTGTTATTTCTTTTATTTATTTATTTTGTTAGGTGATACCAATGCCACGTAACACTGCTGGACAGAGTGATCTCCCCTCAAGCTCAGAGCACCCAGCCTGACAGGCTAAATCAGAATAAAGTCAGCTGAGCTCTGAACATGCAGCGCACAGCACCTTTAACACCTTTCAGACACGCCGTTCCTGGGCTACTTTCTGAGCAGATATAATGAAAAAAGACAAAGAACACTTGCCAAGAGGAAAAAAACACATTTCGTCCAGTTTACTGAGTGACCAATAGACCTACATCCTCGCTTTTGGTGTTAATGCAGGTTTAATTACTTAGCAGGCAACATTTAAAGGGGCACTCCAGCTAAAATAAAAAAATTTAACCCTTGCTTCATCTGTTGTAAACATGCCCACTTGCCTCCTACAGTGCTGCCCCAAAAGTCTCTAGATCTAAACTCTAACAATACAGCTAATGATGTATCTTGAAAGTGGGAGTAACTTTTCAAAAACTACAGCTGTTTTTAGGGTGGACACATGAGGGTGGGATGCTTGAAATGTTAGCTGGTTAATGCAGAAGGAAGCCAAATAACTAACTTTACCACTTAGAAGTCAAATATCACATCTGTATTAGCCTCTGCATCAATGGCTACACTAGCAGTCAGGATTCTTTAGCATAGTGGGGGGCATTCCCAATGTCAAACCATGTCTGTCAAATCCATGAGGCTGAGGGATATGACGCTGCACTACAGAATGTTACATGAAATGACCAACAACATATTAAAAGCTAGTTTTAGGCCAGAATCCACCTTTAAAATGCCAGCAGAAGTGACCTCACTGATGCTCTGGTGTTTAACTGTTTTAGCCTGCATCAAATCAAGCATACAGCAATGCAGTCGCCATAGACAAACACTGGCATGCATCAAATTCCTGCCCTGCTAGAGCTGCCTCAGCCAACTGTAAGTGCTATTGTTATGAAGTGAAAATGGTCACTATGAAAATATAAACATGAAGAAATGTTAGATATGTCCAGAATGATGACCAGAGCTGTAGAAAGTTCTAAAAAAAGAATTCAAAAGTCAAACCAGATAACTTGACAAAAAATGAATGTTAATAGATATTTGTGGTTGGTACAGTGAAGTGGGTAACACCTCAGCCTTCTATGCTGTAGACTGGGGTCCAAGAACACCCTACACTATACCAATAAGAGTCCTTGGGCAAGACTCCTAACACTACCTTCACCTACCTGTGTAGAAATGATCAAATTGTAAGTCACTCTGGATAGGAGTGTCTGCCAAATGCCGTAAACATAGATAATGACTATATTATTCATCTTATTCACTTATAGTTCAGAGAATTTTAGAAATGCTACAAAAAGCATCTAAAATGTCTTTTGGTGGATAGTTTGTAGAATTTAAATCCACATTGTATAAGTTATTATTGTATATAAACTAGCAAAAATGAAGCTATTTTATATATATACTACATACAATGTAGCAAAAATTAGGCTATTTTATACACGATATAATATATATATTTATAATACTGTATATAAATATGGCAAGTTTGGAATGTTGTTAGTGTAAGTTTGTTAATGTATACATACATTAGTGTACACTACAGGTGAAGTCCCCTTGCTGAGAGGAGTTTGTGCAAAAGTTTTGGCACCCCGGTCAAATAACTTGTTTTATTGCTTCTCTAGGTGCAAATATGTTCACACGTGTTCTACAGTGACTAAATTTAAATATGGCATATTTCTGCAAATGTTAGTGCTCAATATTAATTTATTTGCATGTGCCCAAACTGCATTTATGTTTTATTGTTTTTTTTTATATTATTTCCAGTATATTAAATACAGCAATTAAATATAATTATTTTTTATTCCCTATAGAGGCTGAATTAATGTGTTTCAAAAAATTATGTAATTGGACTAAACATTTGCACTGTAAACAGTGCCTAAACATTTGCACTGTAAATAAAATGGAATAAAAGCTGCTCATTTCTGAATAGCATCACTTATATGTATAAGCACAATAAATATGTGCAAATACTGTGCATTTCTGTACTAGATTAATAAATAAAATATAAATAAAACATAAAAATTAATATGTTTTATAGGTCATACATCAACATACATGTGCACTCATATTGTGCATGTTCTCTTTCTTCTGCTTGTTTGTGGGGGGCAAAGAAAAGGTAGAGGGACCACCCTTTGTTCATTTGCTCTTTTACAGCCAGACATATTGCCTGAGGGCCAAACAAGCGCAGTCCGGCACTCTGACTCTCCCAGTGTCCAGATAGAATGACATAAACAGTCATGAAAGCAGCTCTATTCCCTGTAACCTGTGTGTGTGGTTGAGGAAAAGGAGGAATGTGACTGAGTTGACCTGAGGAAGGCTACTGACCTACATTTCAGCCGAAAGATATGGGTCTCCCCTCACCCCATTGTCAACTGCACCCCAGGGAGTGTCCTGATGAAGCCTCATTAAACCATAAACAGTGCATACAGTCTTAGCCTCATTCACATCCTTCAGCTCTACCGCACTGTTACAAGTGTTCAACACAGCACTGCTGGTCAGTTTAACTAGGTTTCTGTTTATCCTGCTTGTATTAAAGAGCCCACATCCTATGTGTTTCTGCTATTTTATTTTTTCCTATTGAGATCCCTTTACAACTTATCTAGTCATTTTTACATGACCCCTTTTTCCAAACTCTCTTTATGTCTTAGAATTAAAGGGCCCATATCATTGAAAAACAAATTTCTATCACTTTTTTATTTAATAAAATAGTGTAAACACTATTAAAGTTTCAAATCATGTTGTTCACCCCCAACAGTCCATACATGGAAATTAAGCTGCAAAAATGACCTGTTTTGAATGTATTGTTTTTTTTATAATGTATGTATATCCACCAATTCAGCCTACATCAGTTTAGCTCCGCCCATTCGCATTGAAGTTATACAGAGTGTTTCAACCCAGGCTGCTTTTTTAACTCAGACACAATACATGGCAGCCAATCAGAGCAGAGCTCATTTACATATGTCAGACAAGGTAAAAAACAGCCTGTTTGATTTGAAAGGACGGTAAAAAATGTTTATGTAAAAAAATATTTTGACTTCATAAGTCATGAGTGTATAAGGGAAAAAAAACAAATCCAATAAAAATGTAGGATGTGGGCCCTTTAAACAGGCTGCTTTTATCCTTTAAGACTGATATATGTAAATAAGCTCTGTTCTGTTTGGCTGAACTGTATTGAATCTCATTCAAAAAGCAGTCCAGACTAAAATATTCGCAACAATTTCAGTGTGGACAGGAATAAATAAGCTGATATATGTGAATGCTGTGGTTTCTGTGATATCACAAAAACAGTACTTTCAAAACAGGCTGTTTTTGCAGCTTAGTTTCCACAGATGAAACAATGTTTACAGTCTACTTCAAGCTCTTTTATGTAAAAAAAAGTGAGGAATGTTCAGTTTTCCATGATATGGGCCCTTTAATTTGACAGGAGAGTCTAAATTTTGGACAGTATTGTAAGGTGGGGGTGGAGTTTTGAGATTATCCCAGGTTAATCACCATATCACACTCTGCAGTGCCCCAGGTTTAGAAACACCCACTGACCTGAACACTGAGCTCTTTAATCTGTGGCAGCTTGGGGGTTGAGGGGTGTTGGGAGTGGACGAACCTTACAGAGGGCATGTTACCGCAGCAGCGTAGTCCAGTTTCTCTCTACCTAATATGAAAGTATACAGATATGAGTGCACAATACAATACAATTCAAAACAACTTTTGAATGAATTGTTTTTGTGATGTCACGAGAAAAACAACACACTTACATATGTTCATATATTCAGCCTAGAGCAGTTTAACCTTGTCTATTAATGCTAAA